TGTTTTATGATAAGCAGTGATTTCTCCCAAAGGTCCTGTTTAGTGCATCTAATGCAAGCCAAAATGTGTTCTGGAGCTGCAGGTGCCAAGCTACATTTCGGGAAAGTGGGGTAGATTTTGTTATTATTTTCTATCTTCAATGGCTTGAGATGGCCTGTTCTAAATCTTGTTAGTGTTGTTTGATGCTGTCTATTTCTGATGTAGCTTGATACTGTAATATGATTGAGTGGAGATAAGAAAGAAGAAGAGTATGTCTCTTTCCCTTCACTCAATGTTTATAGTGATGTTTCAAATTAAATACATAAGTACCAAGAACCTTTTTGCATAACATTCCTAACTTGAATATCATTCAACATCTTCACAAATAATTCACAATTATTGAAACTCTAAATAATAAAACTGAAGAACACTTACAATAAATAAACAAGTATTACCCTCACACAGTAACCTGGCAACAGAGTAAAATAAATGGTGTATAATAACAGAATAAATAACATTTTCATAGAATAATTTTTTCATTCCAAATATATATTGACTAAATAAAATACAAATCTATTTTAAATATAATAAACACTGGATTATATAAGTTATTTAGTTATATATATTTAAAATTAGGGAAACAAATACAGTTAAACCTTTCTATAGCGCCCCCCTCTTGGGACTCACCAAAACAGGGTGCTATAGAGAGGGGGTGCTATAGGCAGGTTTAACTGTATATCGAAATTAATATTCATTGTGAAAATAAAATGTAATCTAACCTCATTTATTCTACACTTGCGATAATTTGATCTTTTTTTTTTTTTCTTGTCCCAACCTCCAACCAATCAAATAGCCAAAGTTAATTTGACCAATGATAATTTGACCATTTCCTTAATCAAATTTTGACAATAACATTAGACAATTGTGATTTAAATACAATTTTACTGTTAAAAATGCAATACAGTAGAACCTCCCTATAAAGGACACCTAATTGCAGAGCTAAAGTCTCTTTTAGGGAGAGGTGTCCTCTTACCGGAGAGTTACTAAATATTAAAAATGGTAATTTTGCAAATGAAAAACTGTCCTTTGTAGAGAGGTGTCCTCTAGCCAGAGTGTCCTCTCATGGAGGTTCTACTGTACTTTGACACATGGCGGAACTTGCAGAGAAGTCATGTCTTTTGAAGATTGATCAGCTAGCATGTACACTGGATAAGGCTCTATCCTAAAAGCAAACAAAAGATTTTAGAAGATCATAATTTTAAAAAAATTAAATTTTTAGGTTATAAGGAACAATTTGGATTATGGATTATAAACATAAAGTAACAAGACTAAATCCAAATTAATAAAATGTTTGTGATGTTTCAGTAACAATGCTTTTACCGAAACATAACAAATATTTAATCAATTTTGATTTGTTCTTGTTAGTTCATAAAATTTTTAGCTTTTCTTGATTTACCAAATTTATTCACTGCAATTATATAACTTATATAAAAGTAATATTTGCAATTTTTCATGTTTAAAAATGTGCGTATATTAAAGCAATTGTATCCTTCACTAAAAGTTAATAATGAAATATTCTAAATAAATAAGGCTCAGTGGTTTCAATTCATATATATAATTAATTGAATATATATTATAAAGGTATTTTTTTCCAAAAATATTATTTTAATGAGTTAATATTTGGATGTTGTAGAAAAATGTCCACTAGCTGTGAATGTTGCAATGAAATCATCTAACTGACTTTAATTCAACACCTACTTTAATACAGTAGAACCTCCATGAGAGGACACTCGCATTAGAGGACACCTCTCTAC